GTCTCTCCTGCCCGGGCTGGCTTTGAACCGCAATCCTCAGATCTCAGCCTCCTGAGTAGCTAGGATTACAGGCGTGAGCCACCAGCGCCCGGCTATCACTTCTGGATTTTTATTGCTCAATTGGAGATAAGAGACTCATGTATTTCTCTGCCTGGCCTGGCTTTGGTCCATGATCCTTAGATCTCAGCCTCCTAAGAGACTAGCATTACAAGTAATGCAGTATTTTGTACACGTGAACAATAGCACTAAAGGACATGTTCAAGACATCTTTCAAAGAATTTCTCACAGGAAGTGTGAGGGCACAGTTAGGAAGGTGTGAAGTTTAAGAAATGGGAAGCCTTGAAGATGGGTGAATATAGGACAGAAAGGTAAGTTAGTGTAGTCTTTCTGCAGAAGGAAATGGGAAAGCTATCCCAGCCACTTCTGAAACAGTATCAAAGTTCCTGAGTTAGTAACTACAGCTACAGCCTGTCCTATTAGCCTTGTGGGTTTTGAGAACATGAATGTCTCATGTGAATTGACATGAGCCAAAAAAAATAAAAACATACTTTCAAAGATAGTATAAGAAAGGAGTGCAACATGTTTCATCAATTTCCTAGGATTACTCGTGGAAAAGATAGTACTTTTGGTATATACTTGGCTAAACTGTAAGCATTAAATTAACGTCTTTCTTACTACTGTTAATGTGGCTGCTAGTTTTAGTATTATATTATGTGGCTGTTTTAGTATTATATGGCTTTCATTATATATATTTATATTCTTTTGGTCCAAAACGGGGACTTGAACTCAGTACTTGTCACTTTTGCTCATTGGCTAGCGCTTTACCAACTGAGCCATGCCTCCAACTTCTAGAATTACATTTTTACTGGACAGTTGTGCTCTATAGACATAGTAGGTATCAGAAGACCAAAACCTTTTGAAGGAGTTGAAACTTTTTCTCAATGAAAATATCATTTCATTATAGAAATTTTGTTTCTCGTACTTTAATTTTACTATTAAAAATGTGCCAGTTAATTTGATTGCTGAAAGGATTTATAGAACCTCACAGTTTATACATTAAGTTTCCAGTACCTTAGCAGTGCAGTAATACTCATTTCAGCGTCTGGAGTTAGCAGGGGCAGGTTTTTAGGCCTTAGGTATACTTTTCCCCCAGATTGAAGACCTTCTCTATCTTCCAGTACAACCCCTCAGTCTGAGGTAGCCTCCTGCTTCCTCCTGTTGGCATCTATGAAATGGTGTGACATGGGTGCTTTCCATTTGCACAGAGAGCCTCACCTGTATAATTGGCTTCCCAAGCACCACCAAAACTGGGGAATAGTTTGTGCATCCAACCATGATTACTAAGAAGTGCTGTCAGGCTGCTGTAGTTTGTCCTTCAACCACTCAGGCACTTGTGCTTGCAAACTGCACTCAGCTTGGTCATAGCTGTGGTCAGTACAGAATAGCCAGATTAACCCGGTTTGCTCAGTATTAGAAGTGGGCGTCCAGAAACATTGCAGAAATACTTCAGAACCATGGTGACATTGGGGAGATTCCAAATGCTTCTCCAGGAAGAAACCCCTATTGGGGAGAAAGAATGTCATTAATCCCAGATACTTTTTTTTTGAACTCTGGGCCTGGGCGCTGTCCCTCAGCTCTTCAGCTCAAGGCTAGCGCCCTACCACTTGAGTCATAGCGCCATTTCAGGCTTTTTTCCCCCCTGCTCATGTGATATTGAGGAATCAAACCCAGGGCCTCATGCTTGCGAGGCCAGCACTCTACCACTGAGCCAACTTCCCAGCCCCTAATTCTTATTTTTTCCCCCCTTATACAATCAGTGATCTTTGATGCTATTATTGGAAGTTTTTGCCCAGGATAGCCTGGATTGTGATTTTTCTATATATACCTTCCAGGTATAAAACAGCACCCCACTCCTACCCTTACCTTCTTTCTTTTTTTGGGGGGGGAGGGAAATTGGTTGTGGAGCTTGAACTCAGCCTGGGCGCTGTCCTTGAGCTTTTCAGCTCAAGGCTAGTGCTCTACCACTTGAGCCATAGCACCACTTCCAGTTTTCTG